GTAAATAATCGAGTCTGGATCAGACAATCCAGTGATCAACAGTATGAGCACCGACTGTATATCAGGACTGAAATGACAAAGGATGAACTCCACGTCGTTTGATTACATCCTTCAGTCATAACGTTGTTCCTGGTGCATTTCACAGTTTCACAGTATTTTAGAATGGATCATTGATACAATTTGAAAATCACATTTTGAAAGTGAGACGAGAATCTACAAACATTGCACAAATGGCATCACTATGTGAATATATCATTAAGTTAAGACTTATTGGTGTATCTCGGCCATAATCCACACAAGCTTCATCGGAATGCTTATACCTACAAATTGGTTTATCTATTGTGAATGGATGAAAGTTTGTAAACTAAGATGTAGGAAAAGTTACAGTCAAAAAAAAAAGAAAAGAAAGTAAAATTTTAAAATGCAGTAAAAGTTGCTTCGGAAAAAAAAGAAGAAAGAGTTTAGCAGTAATTATCAGTATCCAGCAAGGAGAAGTGTTTATTCAATACAATAAACTCAAAATTATAAAAGATTTATTCCAAAATCTTATTGATGTGGCCTTTTTTTGACAATGCGCAATCTGAGTTGTTGATAAACGGTCTGAATCTTTGACATTCGGCTTCTTCCTGATTATCCATAATTAAAGCTTACTTCATGTGTAATTAAATGTCATCTTGGTATATAACAGAATTGTTATGTTTGGTCAAAACTTAATTTAATGGTGTAGTTTCAACAGAAAAGGAATAGCTATTTTGGGTAAAACTTCAGTCCATCACATTTTTATCAACATATTCTTTTATAAGGAATAGAAAAAGTTATTGTATTTTTAAAACTGCCAATGGATAAAGCTTGTTTGACTCTAGGTTGATTAAATTGATGGCTATACCCTAACTTTTCTGTAGCATCACATTTTTTCAACATAGGGTGGTGCTTAATTAATGCACGGGTGTATATAAAGGGATCATCACATGCATTTTTCATGTTATTTCATTGTTGATTGCGGTTTTTCGATATGGGAATTGCAAGGAAGTTTTAGCTAAGAGATTACTCAGGAACCTGACCCATATCAAAACAGAGCAATAGCTGCATTCTTATTAGTATAAGACAAAATATTATGGACGTCAACGTCTTCTTTATTGTATGCACAACGTTTCTGGGCTATTCCTTTCCCCTTCGTCATTAACCTGTATTTTGTCTTATATTTGAATACCAAGTTCTTTATGCCTCTCAAAAATTTACATTCTCATTATCTTCATGTAAAAGCTCTCACCAATTAGATAAAATAACACTGTTATTGTTAAATTTTATGTTGAAAGATATACACATATTCTTTGCCAATGTGATGCAAAACGTGGGAACAAATGTAGTGCAACTAACTACCAATACTTTCTTTGTTGAAAATCCATTTTCCATGGTCGAAATGCGGAATATATTCGTTGTTCTGTTGTTTGTTGAAATATCAGTTCATGTGCCTCTGTGTTTCCTTTCTTCTATAACTAGTGTGCTATCAGTGTGCAACACACATGTATTTAAGTCAAAGGCGTATGCTATAGACTGATGTGCTAGACACACATGTATTTAAGTCAAAGGCTTATGCTATAGATTGATGTGCTACACACATGTACACGCATTCAAGTCAAAGGTTTATGCTATAGATTGATGTGCTACACACATGTAATTAAGTCAAAGGCTTGTGCTATAGATTGGTGTGCCACACACATGTATTTAAGTCAAAGGCTTATGCTATAGATTGATGTGCTACACACATGTATTCAAGTCAAAGGCTTATGCTATAGATTGATGTGCTACACACTTGTATTTTAGTCAAAGGCTTATGCTATAGATTGATGTGCTACACACATGTATTCAAGTCAAAGGCTTATGCTATAGATTGGTGTGCTACACACATGTATTCAAGTCAAAGGCTTATGCTATAGATTGGTGTGCTGCACACATGTATTTAAGTAAAAGGCTTATACTATAGATTGATGAGCTACACACATGTATTTAAGTCAAAGGCTTATGCTATAGACTGATGTGCTACACACATGTATTAACAACGTGTCAAAAGCCGCCGTTACCTTTAAGTCATTAAGATAACGTTGGGTCAATGCTGTCAAACTGTTGGCCAACCAACCAACCAACCATATACCAACATTGGTCCAACACACTTTTGCTATCTGGGTGCTTGTCGTAAGAGGCGACTAACGGGATCGGGTGGTCAGGTTCGCTGACTTGGTTGACACATGTATGTCATCGGTTCCCAATTGCGCAGAACGATGATCATGCTCTTACGACAAGCATGGGCTACTGAAGGCCAGTATTCTAACCCGATCGTTCACGGGGAGCGAACAACAAGGGTGCTGAAACACACCAGCACCATGTTTGATTCAAACGCCCAAACAGCACCCTTGTTTTTCAGTGTTTTTGACAATTTTACATTCCACACAAACTCAACGAATATTGAATCGGTTGCTTCACTGCATGTTTTAACGTGTCGTTTAAAGTGCCCATTAAGCACACAAAAAGTTGCATTTACAGCATAAATGACCTCGCCACGTTTAAGTTTATATATGACTATCAAATTTTAGGGTGTTCCCATACTTTTTGTTAGCAGTATATATTTAAATGTTTTCACACACACACACACAGATATATATATATATATATATCCCGTGGTCCAACCTTATTGCATCGCCACAGACTTGCCAGACAGCGATGGGCAGCAAATGATGCCAATCTTGGCAACAGGACATGGCCAGATGTCATTTTGTCAGATGAATCCAGGTTTGCAGATGGACGTCCACAGATTTATCGACGTAAAGGAGAAAGACTTGCGCCAAACTGTGTCCTTGAACATGATCGTTTTGGAGGGGGTGGTGTCATGATCAGACCACAGACCATCAGAGGCTGCAGACGATCCAACAGCTGTTCCTGAGAAATGTGTGTCTTTCAATGCCCAAAAGACTGCGAGCATGTCTTGCAGCGCACGGTGGACACACACGATATTGACTGCAAGTGACCCCTCCTTTGTTTGATGTCGTTGTTGCGTTGATTGGACATTTTCAGATGAAATTATTCACAGATGTTCAAATTGTCTTTACAACTATCAATATGTTGAAATTGGTGTGAGTACAGAAAGTTACAACTATCAATACAATGACTCTTGAAACTACACACACATAACTGTACATGACGTTAACCGTCATTAGACATCTGACCTGCAGAATATACTTCCTTGTTGAACGCACATGCTATAGCCTTGTAATGGGAGGAGTAAAAATATGTTTACAATTCATCCTCTGGGTCCTAGCAGCATGGTACTGGGTTTAAAGTATAAAGGAGATGTGGGTTAAGATTGCATGTAGGGGAACCTGCCCAGCGAAGGGTAACGGTGTGTTTTGAAGTTGTAGTCGTGTAGTGGTAAGTATGGAGATCAGCAGGACAGAAAGATTTCTGTGTTTGAAAGTACAACCGAATTGGTAACAATTAGTAATATACCACCGTCGGCAATATTATAGCTGCATCTATATACTGTTTCCTACGTCTTTAGAAAATGGTGTGTTGCTTTTTAAACTTAACATTTGTGTATGTTTATTATCTTACGTTTGTGACATTACGTGTGTCTGTGTAAAATTTGAATTTCGCGCAACAGCTGTTGTTAATATCGTAGATTATATCAGTTTGACACACTTCACGAACACCGTATTGAATTTCTTTTTTTAAGTACTAACTGATTAATTGTTGAGCATTTCTCACGCTCCTATCTCTGAGTTTGGTGGCAAATCTGTGAATTCTAGTTACATCATTGCTTGGAAGGTTTATAGATTATATCAGTTTGACACACTTCACGAACACCATATTGAATTTCTTTTTTTCAAAACTAACTGATTAATTGTTGAGCATTTCTCACGCTCCTATCTCTGAGTTTGATGGCAAATCTGTGAATTCTAGTTACATCATTGCTTGCAACGTTTACTGATCTATACAGGTGACAAATGTTGATTTGGTGACCAGACTTGGTGACTTGATTGATTAGATGTCATTCTACCCAAACAGTGTACGCATAATATCGATCACTGGATTGCCTGGTCCAGTCTGGAATATCTACAGACCCCCTTCATAGGACTGGAATACTGCTGGGTGAGATGTTATATATTTCAGTTTCTGATCAGTTTTAAATTCATTCGTCTGTAACCTACATCTGTTTATTCGTTCCAAACATCAAAGTTGACACATTGTCATGCAGTGGTATCCCAATTGCATAGATGCTCATGCTGTTGATCACTTGATTGTCTGGTCTAAGCTTGATTACTTACAAACCGCCGCCATATAGCTGGAATATTGCGTTAAAAAATGAATAAAAAGCAACACAATCAAGCGGTGAACAGGTCATCAGCCATGTTCCGACCAGTTGAGCACAAACCCTGAATGATAACTGTTCTGCAAATCAGTCCATGTTATGTAAGAGAGATTTAGTATCAGGATATTGGCATTTTAATTTTGTCTCGTACAGCAGAGTTTTGACTGTGATATTCAGGTGATGCAGTGTGTTCCAAGCTGAATATAAACCATTAGAGTATAGGGAAGGTTAAGGAATCATGATAAGAAACAAACGATGCCTGGGTCTGGAGGAAAGTGAGGTACGCCGAGTTAGCAATATTCCAGCCTGTGTCTGTAAATGAGTTGACCAACAATCCAGTGATCAACTGCCATCGATCTGTGTTCTGAGGTTTGTCAAGTCAGCGAAACTGACCATCCTACGACAAGATAGTCGCCTGTGTGCAATGGTTGTCTATCCCGGTTCTTCACGGGTCGCCTATATACTGAGTTATGTCTGTGTTATTTAAACAAACACACTGTGTGTTCAGGTTAAGACAGCATTTGTTAATCCTGCCTTGTGTGATGAAGTAATGTATATTTCTATTTAAACGTGTGTACAGAATTTTGTTAAAACTGTGTAAAGTAATGTATATGAGATGAATAAAATAAAACATTCGGACTTTTTAAATATTCTTTATTTGTATTGTCAATTGAAGCAGCATCAACTCTATTATTTTTGTAATGATAGTATTTATGGATGGACAACTTCTTTATTTACTGTGAGTATGTAGACGCGTAGAAGCTACACTGTTATCAAGCAGTAGCTGTACAAGGTAGTGTCGAGAGCCATATATACAGATATGAAGTAGTGTTTTAACAATAGATCAGAGAAGCACTTTTAGCATACGTGTAAACATACAGATAAACACAGAAGGATTATATCTGATTGGAGTCTTTGATTAGTTGATGGCAGGCAATCTGGAGATGTGTAGTACTCTTGCTCACGGTTGAAGGATGGCTTGAATCGTTTTCATGTAGATGGCTTCTTGGATTTTGGATCACCTACACCTACAAGAAACGTGTGTAGTAAGTACGTTACCAATGTCCTTCAGACCCACACTCCTTCAACAGTTCCATTACTATGGTAATTTGTAGTCATGCACGTCTATCTGAATGGTGTGAGTGTTGTTTTAATGTGGTTCACCTTTACGATTCTGGCTTAAACAAAGACAAACCAATGACCGGAAGAGGAAGCATGGATTCATGCCAACGGGAAACAGTGACACGATGTCAGCTGGTTCATGGATGCTCACCAGTTAATATTCGTCAGCTTTTACACGAAGCATGGAGACCGAGAAGCACTTATGTGTCACTATTTAGGTATAGTGATAATGTACATTGACAAAATGTGACCTTGTGTTTGGATTCAATCAATTGCGACCACTCTGGCGGGAGAGTGTATGCTGCAGTGGTTGAGAAGGATAATATCATGGTGACTTTATGCTTTAGAAACACGAGACAGGATAAATTTATGGCAATGCTTATTATGCTGCAGACCATTTTTTTGTTTTATTTTTACGGAATGGATAAGCATACAAACCTATGAAATTTAAGTACTCCTTGTCTAGAAACAATAACTCAATATACAATTAGGATATTTGTTACGTTGTGATGAATGTTTGGAAGTATTCATTCTGGAAAAGGTTAACCTACTTAGAGACTACTGTCTTCTCTGCGTTACCGGTGTGCTTTGGTCCTGAAACAACCATAGATTAGATTAATAAATGAACAAATAAAATGACACTTAGGAGCTGCGACACATAGAAAGTCCCTGCCGAGATCACCAGGCATTTCCACTGAGCTACCAACATCCCTTTACTGCTTCTAGTTTGTTGACTCGACTGTCTTCTCTGGATTCTTTAACTGTGGTCAGAAAAACTCGTCACTGACGAATCCCACAGTGTATCTATGGTCAGGTCCGTTTCCTGATAGGACCTTTTTTAGCGGTTGTAAGTGCTACATTGTGAGCATGGCCGGTATTTGGTGGTTTATCGGGAGAGTGTTTAGTCCTTATGACGAAGCTGCCTTCCGCCATGAATGAATGAATGAATGAATGATAATTGATTTGTATAGCGCCTGGTTTCCAGATTGGACATGACTGATCAACGGCGCTTGTTGAAGTGAGCGGAAAAAAGATATGTCTTCAGATGAGTTAGAAAAGAGTCTTTTATTTCACAATTTCTGATTTCCAGTGGTAGGGCATTCCTTATCATCGGTTGATCTTAAAGCTCTTGTGGGTTGGTAGTGATGTAACATGTCCGTAACATAAGTTGGGGAGTTTTCATCATTTAGTGCTGATTATGTGATAGCAAGAGTCCTGAAAGTGATGCGGTGCTCTACGGGTAGCCAGTGGCATGATTTCAGGACAGATGTGATATGGTCAGTTCTCTTGGTACCAGTCAGCATCCTCGCAGCACTGTTCTGCACTTGTTGCCGTAGTTTGATGTTAGTGGCAGTAGTCCCATTGAGGAGGGCATTTCCATAGTCAAGACGTGATGTGACACAGGCTTGGATAACTGTCCTCAGACTGTCATTGTCAAGGTATTTCTTGATCTTGTTGATCTTAAATAGATGGAAGAAGGCAGATCTGCATGTTGACTTGACATGGTTTTTCATCGTCATGTTTCTGTCAAACTTGACTCCCAGATTTCGCACGTCATTGCTTGGATTGATATGACTGCCACTAATCTCAAGAGCTAATAGTCATGAATATTCTGTTTTGGAACTGTTGAATTTGAGCGCATTTGCTGTCATCCACTGTTGAATATCACCGATACAATGTTCAAGCTGTAACTTGGAAGCAACTACTTGGGTAGGTTTTGTTCCTATATACAACTGGTTGTCGTCTGCGCATCCATGGAAGTTGACATTGTGCTGTCGGATGATATTTCCTATAGGCAGTATGTAAATGTCAAAAAGGAGAGGACCAAGGGCAGAGCCTTGTGTGACACCACAGCGCAGCTCACCTTCTTGTGATCTGGATCCATCAATTTGAACTTGAAGGTATCTGTCAGTGAGGTACGATCTGAACCACTGAAGTGCAGAGCCGCCAATACCAACTGTTTGTTCCAATCTCTGAAGCAATATGTCATGGTCCACAGTATCGAAAGCCGCAGAGAGGTCTAGCAGAACAAAGAGAACTGTTTCCTGATTGTCCAGTGAGTGCATGATGTCATTTTGGACAGACAGTAGTGCAGTCTCGGTACTGTGTATCCTCTTATAGGCAGACTGGAATTCTTCTCCAAGGCTGCTGTGAATAAGATGCTCCCTGAGACGTATGGATACAATTCTTTCCAAAACTTTAACAAGAAATGGGAGATTGGATACCGGCGAAAATTGGCGTGTTGGGTAATCACACCAATTGCGGGTACAGGGATGAAACTCCCCATCATTGTTTTATTGCCAACTACGAAAGTCACTGGAGCAAACTTACAGGACAGCAATGCAGAATAAAGTTAAGCTCAATGTTAAAATTCTTGTCCTTGTTGGATCGTCATGCGGATGAACTTTCAAAGGTTATATGATTTCCACAGATAGATTAAGAACGTATACACTTAAAGTACTTACCTCATATGCAGTCTGCTAGTTTGTCCCTGAAGACGAACGCAAAACCCAGACAGATGGCACCAACGACCGGCATTACACACACACCTATAGCCACTCCACCTCCAAGAGAAAATTCACACGTCGCTGTCATTTGAAACATAAAATGTATTTCTATGGCTACATGGCAGTTTAATTTATTGTAACCAAAAGTTGTTACCGTTATACATTGTTTTGTTAAGGTTCAGTAGAAGATCAAGTCATAGTGTTCTGACAATACCTAGTTGCCAAGAATGTGTTAGCGTCTCATGTTAGCACTGACCGATCCAGCATATAGTCGTTTCTGAAGGAGGTATTTACACCAAAAGAAAATACGCGAATGTCTTCGCTTGTGTTTATTTTTTTCAACCTAAGTATATTTCACCCGGACCATACCAAATGTCTCGTAAACACCAAACCTTCCTTTTTAAAAGATATTTGGAAATGTTTTTGTAGCATATAACTCCAACCCCTTAACATAACCCTTCCGGGGCCCTGGAAAGACTGATCAGTCTCTGTATCCCGTTTGTGTCATCACACATAACTAAAAGGGACCAATCGATGTTCATGGCCCTTTGGACCGCCTCCGTGGTGTAGTGATTAAAGCGTCCACCCGGAGTGCGGAAGGTCGCGGTCTCGATCCCCGACCGCGTCATACCAAAAGACGTTAAAATATGGTACTTGTTGGTCCCTGCCTGGCGCTCGGCATTAATGGGTACAACAAGGACTGGTCGGCGGTCTAGCAGTATAATGTGTCTGAGTGGGGTATTCATGCAACTGCGGCATGGTATCTCAGTGGTCTAGCACTATAAAACCAGCTTAAGTCTGGGCTAGAACAAGCAGCCGCACATACACATACACACGCATGCACGTCGTCATATGAGCGAAATATTCTCAAGCACTACGTTAAACCCAATGTCACCTCACCTCACCTCATGGCCCTTTCCATGAGACTTTCAGGCCGAAGTTCTGCCCAATCTATCCTTGTAAAGTATGGTGAACAGAACACCTGATAGTACGTCAACCAAAGAAGGTTAAGTGTACCTCAGTGTACCTTACGATCAATACATGAAAACCGATTGATAAAGCGAATGCTGACATTAACAATTGAACCTATCCAGCTCAAGTGTTATCAGAATGATAACTGAAACGAAACATGACAGCTGATGTGGGATTCTAATAAGAATACCAAGGCAGCAATGGCGACATTGGTTCAGATTGGGGGCTCAGAAAGCTATGGAAAAAAGCCGTTGATGAAGGAAAAGATGACGTTACGTTTTCAGAATGTCAGTATACTGTATAGCCACCGTTACCAGAAATACGTGCCATGGATTGCTAATGTAAATGTCCAGACAATTATGCCAGAATTATGCTTCGAAGTACTATAGTACATCATTAATAGGCAAGATATTTCCGAAATTCTGCTCCCAGACAATAATATAAAACTCACCACTTGTAGGCTTTTCGGAAAGAGTTGTTGGTCGTGGTGGTTGTTGACCTACAAAAAGATATGGCAGTTAGAAGTAAACCTGATCCTTAGCTTCTGTTGTCCTGCTATGATATAAGATGTACTCGGCTAACATATAAGTTCATATATGTAGCACTTTTACAATATAGATTTGATTTTACAACATAGATTTCATTTAGACAAGGTCATGAACGATTTCTTACAATTGTAATAATAGCATTCCTGTTTGAATGTTTGTCGTCCTGATATTAAAAGTGGCACTGAATTCGTTCAGGAACAACAATCACTAACTTCGGGGTCCAATAAGAAATACCCGAATACCATTAAAGAATGATAATGATAACTTTTAGTCTGAAGAAGGCACTTTGACACAAAAATCTCAGTTATGTGTATGGCATCATTGTCTGAAATTCTATGATTCTATAATACCACTTCAAGCATCATAAATGGACAAGATGTTTCTGAAATTCACACTTTTAAAAAATTGAGTTTGATTGCTTGCTTGTTGTTTAACGCCGCACTCAGCAATATTCCAGCTGTTTGGTGCCGTAACATATATTATATTTGGGATTACACTTCTCAGTGAAGTACAGATTCTAGCCCAGATAGCATTCAGACGTTGGCCTAACGTTGGCAATGGTATTGCCAACATTGTCAACGTTGGGCCAACTTCCGAATGCTATCTGGGAGTACTTTTGTTGGGTTGATTCCCATCCGGAATTCAAACCCACACCCTCAGAGTCGGGTATCTAATCGCCAGCACACAAAGTCAGCCGCCTAACCCACTCACCGCCGCTTCTACAAGCTGAGAAAGTGTAATCCCCAAAATACCATATTTTACATTTGACCACTTTCTGAATGGCATTTTGTATTCATTTCGTGCTTGTTTCATTTCATGGGCATACTTCCCTCCTCCGGTAGTGTTTATAATTTTGACATTATTCCAGATGCCTTGGTGTAGGGCTGGCACCAGTTTTAGTGTCAGAACAACGTATTCTTCACTTGGAAACTTGTCATATTGTAACACCTCTACGGAATATTTAAAAGAAAATACATCTCATCTCAACCAAATCAGCGAGCCTGACCATCCGATCCCGTTATTCGCCACTTACGACGAGCATGGGTTACCGAAGACCAATTCTAACCAGGATTTTCACGGGAATGATAATTAAGTAAATTAGTTGTTGGTCAAGTATATACCCCGCTGCTGCTTTCTTTCAGTTATACAAAACTCACCATTTGTAGGTGTTTCGGCAGGAGTTGTTGGTCGTGGTGGTTGTTGACCTTGAAAATATATAGCATTTAGAAAGTGAACTTGATCCTTAGCTTCTGTGTCCTACTAACATAAAATATGTACTCGGCTAACATATAAGTTCATATGTGCAACACACTTACAATATAGACTTGATTTAGACAAGGTCGTACACTATTTCTTACAATTGTAATAATAGCCTTATTGTTTGAATGTTTGCCGTCCTGATATGAAAAGTGGCACTGAATTCGATCAGGAACAACAATCACTAACTTTGGGGTCCAATAAGAAATACACGAAGACCAATTCTAGCCAGGATCTCCATGGGAATGATAATTAAGTAAATTATTTGTTGGACATGTATATATCCCGCTGCTGCTTTCTTTCAGTTATACAAAACTCACCATTTGTAGGTGTTTCGGAAGGAGTTGTTGGTGATGATGGTTGTTGACCTGAAAATAGGATATAGCAGTTAGGAAGTAGGCTTGGTCCTTTGTTTCTGTCGTTGTCCTGCTAACATGAATGGTGTACTGAGCTGACATATAGGCTCATCTGCATAACATTCTTAACATATAGGCCTGAGTTCGATAAGACCAACAACCGATCTCTTCCCATTGTAATTATAGCCTTTCCGTTTGACAGTTTGTCGCCCTGGTATTAAAAGTGGAATTGTCTTCGATCAGGAACAACAATCACTAGCTTTTGGGTCCAATAAGAAACCATCCGATCCCGTTATTCGCCACTTACGACGAGCATGGGTTACCGAAGACCAATTCTAACCAGGATTTTCACGGGAATGATAATTAAGTAAATTAGTTGTTGGTCAAGTATATACCCCGCTGCTGCTTTCTTTCAGTTACACAAAAACTCACCATTTGTAGGTGTTTCTGGCAGGAGTTGTTGGTCGTGGTGGTTGTTGACCTTGAAAAAAAGATATGGCATTAGAAAGTAAACCTTTAGCTTCTGTTGTCCTGCTAACATAAAAGATGTACCCGGCTAACATATAAGTTCATATGTGTAACACACTTACAATATAGACTTGGTTTAGACAAGGTGATAATCGACTTCTTACCATTGAAAAATTAGCCTTCCTGTTTGCATGTTTGTCGTCGTGGTATAAAAAGTGGCGCTGCATTCGATCAGAAACAAACATCACTCACTTTTGGGTCCAATAAGAAATACACGAATGTCATTAAAGAATGACAATGTCGTTTTAGTCTGAAGACGGCACTTTGACACGAACATCTCAGTCATGTGTATAGTCACTGTTGTCTGAAATTCTATGATTCTTTGGTAAGGCCAATTCTAACTCGGATCTTCACGGGAATGATAATTAAGTAAATTAGTTGTTGGACATGTATATATCCCGCTGCTGCTTTCTTTCAGTTATACAAAACTCACCATATGTAGGTGTTTCGGAAGGAGTTGTTGGTGATGATGGTTGTTGACCTGAAAATAAAATATAGCAGTTAGGAAGTAGGCTTGGTCCTTTGTTTCTGTCGTTGTCCTGCTAACATGAATGGTGTACTTAGCTGACATATAGGTTCATCTGCATAACACTCTTAACATATAGGCCTGAGTTAGATAAGACCAACAACCGATCTCTTCCCATTGTAATTATAGCCTTTCTGTTTGACAGTTTGTCGCCCTTGTATTAAAAGTGGAATTTTCTTCGATCAGGAACAACAATCACTAGCTTTTGGGTCCAATAAGAAACCTTCCGATCCCGTTATTCACCACTTACGACGAGCATGGGTTACCGAAGACCAATTCTAACCAGGATTTTCACGGGAATGATAATTAAGTAAATTAGTTGTTGGTCAAGTATATACCCCGCTGCTGCTTTCTTTCAGTTACACAAAACTCACCATTTGTAGGTGTTTCGGCAGGAGTTGTTGGTCGTGGTGGTTGTTGACCTTGAAAAAGATATGGCATTTAGAAAGTAAACCTTAGCTTCTGTTGTCCTGCTAACATAAAAGATGTACCCGGCTAACATATAAGTTCATATGTGTAACACACTTACAATATAGACTTGGTTTAGACAAGGTGATAATCGACTTCTTACCATTGAAAAATTAGCCTTCCTGTTTGCATGTTTGTCGTCGTGGTATAAAAGTGGCGCTGCATTCGATCAGAAACAAACATCACTCACTTTTGGGTCCAATAAGAAATACACGAATGTCATTAAAGAATGACAATGTCGTTTTAGTCTGAAGACGGCACTTTGACACGAACATCTCAGTCATGTGTATAGTCACTGTTGTCTGAAATTCTATGATTCTTTGGTAAGGCCAATTCTAACTCGGATCTTCACGGGAATGATAATTAAGTAAATTAGTTGTTGGACATGTATATATCCCGCTGCTGCTTTCTTTCAGTTATACAAAACTCACCATTTGTAGGTGTTTTTGGAAGGAGTTGTTGGTGATGATGGTTGTTGACCTTGAAAATAAGATATAGCAGTTAGAAGTAGGCTTGGTCCTTTGTTTCTGTCGTTGTCCTGCTAACATGAATGGTGTACTTAGCTGACATATAGGCTCATCTGCATAACACTCTTAACATATAGGCCTGAGTTAGATAAGACCAACAACCGATCTCTTCCCATTGTAATTATAGCCTTTCCGTTTGACAGTTTGTCGCCCTGGTATTAAAAGTGGAATTGTCTTCGATCAGGAACAACAATCACTAGCTTTTGGGTCCAATAAGAAACCATCCGATCCCGTTATTCGCCACTTACGACGAGCATGGGTTACCGAAGACCAGTTCTAACCAGGATTTTCACGGGAATGATAATTAAGTAAATTAGTTGTTGGTCAAGTATATACCCCGCTGCTGCTTTCTTTCAGTTATACAAAACTCACCATTTGTAGGTGTTTCGGCAGGAGTTGTTGGTCGTGGTGGTTGTTGACCTGAAAATAAGATATAGCAGTTAGGAAGTAGGCTTGGTCCTTTGTTTCTGTCGTTGTCCTGCTAACATGAATGGTGTACTGAGCTGACATATAGGCTCATCTGCATAACACTCTTAACATATAGGCCTGAGTTAGATAAGACCAACAACCGATCTCTTCCCATTGTAATTATAGCCTTTCTGTTTGACAGTTTGTCGCCCTGGTATTAAAAGTGGAATTGTCTTCGATCAGGAACAACAATCACTAGCTTTTGGGTCCAATAAGAAACCATCCGATCCCGTTATTCGCCACTTACGACGAGCATGGGTTACCGAAGACCAGTTCTAACCAGGATTTTCACGGGAATGATAATTAAGTAAATTAGTTGTTGGTCAAGTATATACCCCGCTGCTGCTTTCTTTCAGTTATACAAAACTCACCATTTGTAGGTGTTTCGGCAGGAGTTGTTGGTCGTGGTGGTTGTTGACCTGAAAATAAGATATAGCAGTTAGGAAGTAGGCTTGGTCCTTTGTTTCTGTCGTTGTCCTGCTAACATGAATGGTGTACTGAGCTGACATATAGGCTCATCTGCATAACACTCTTAACATATAGGCCTGAGTTCGATAAGACCAACAACCGATCTCTTCCCATTGTAATTATAGCCTTTCCGTTTGACAGTTTGTCGCCCTGGTATTAAAAGTGGAATTGTCTTCGATCAGGAACAACAATCACTAGCTTTTGGGTCCAATAAGAAACCATCCGATCCCGTTATTCGCCACTTACGACGAGCATGGGTTACCGAAGACCAGTTCTAACCAGGATTTTCACGGGAATGATAATTAAGTAAATTAGTTGTTGGTCAAGTATATACCCCGCTGCTGCTTTCTTTCAGTTATACAAAACTCACCATTTGTAGGTGTTTCGGCAGGAGTTGTTGGTCGTGGTGGTTGTTGACCTTGAAAAAAGATATGGCATTTAGAAAGTAAACCTTAGCTTCTGTTGTCCTGCTAACATAAAATATGTACCCGGCTAACATATAAGTTCATATGTGTAACACACTTACAATATAGACTTGGTTTAGACAAGGTGATAATCGACTTCTTACCATTGAAAAATTAGCCTTCCTGTTTGCATGTTTGTAGTCGTGGTATAAAAAGTGGCGCTGCATTCGATCAGAAACAAAGATCACAAACTTTGGGTCCAATAAGAAATACACGAATGTCATTAAAGAATGACAATGTCGTTTTAGTCTGAAGACGGCACTTTGACACGAACATCTCAGTCATGTGTATACACACTGCTGTCTGAAATTCTATGATTCTTTGGTAAGACCAATTCTTACTCGGATCTTCACGGGAAGATCTGTTTGACAGTTTGTCGTCCTGTTATTAATAGCTTCGAAACATTTGAATAGAACATAAAGCTAATATTTGGATAGAATATCTAACAAGTTTAAAAGGCATTTTCAGGATAAATCGGAAACCTGATCACCCGTTGTGCGTAAACTTTGTGTTGGACCAGGTATACGTTTAAAGTCATCCACAGTGTAAAACCGGACACATTAACGGTGAACCAATCACAGCTGTAACATATTACCAATAACCAAAACAGTCTTTTTTGTATTGTTGTAGTATACCTAGATAGACAGGTGACCTACTTCATTTGATGAGTGTGATAAATGAGTTTTTAATCCCTCTCACGTGGCCTCATACGTGCTTGGTTTCTTGGTGACCTAATGGAAATAAAAACATCCTTATCAGTTCATGACTCTCATATGACCTTTGTTTTGTGACCTCATTAGGGTATAAAAAACACCTTGTTTTTCACACAACTTCACTTGCAATACTTCTATCATGATGGGCTCCTCCGATATGAACACCCTTAGACATAATCACTGTGATCATCTGAAAGCTATAGACAATGTGGAACCTGTGGTCAACTTACTGGAACAATGGGGTATCCTGAATCAGTACAATAGAGCTTACATAATGGTAAGGCCTTTTCTTCACATATAAAATTCAGTAACTACATACACGTATTATGTGTGTTTTCCATGAATTTCCATTATTTAATAGCATGCTTTGAATTCTTTGTAGGACAATCAAGACACTAAAATAGACCGCAACCGAACCTTACTGTTGAGTTACCAAGATGTGGAACCCACGCTTTTGAACAATTTGTACAAGTGCTCATATTCAGTGGAAAACATGAAGCTGCCAGCCTCCTGGGACGGAGGAATGTTGATGATAAGACCTTGGTGACCCTCCAGGGCCCTCACTGTAATCTGGATCTTGGTGAAAATGTGTTTGTGACAGCAAAGACAAAGAAAGTTGCAATAAACATTCACATCATCAAGTTTGATGTGTACTCGAGTGGCAAGTCTTATCCTACCAAATGAGGCCTTATGTCAACTCTAAAGCACTGGTTGGAACTTTCCCAGGTGCTCAATCGGTTGGAAGAGGCTATGAAGTCTGGTCACTTAGGCTCTTATAAATGCACATGTTGGAGGGAACATGTATGCTGCATTGAATGGCAATGGTGTGGACCTTCGTCAGTGGGAAAAAGAATACTCAAGTGGTAAAGTAGTGCCTACAGGTAAAGGTATCTTACTGTCCATGAATCAGTGGAAGAAACTGAGAGACTGTGTCCAGGTAATACCTGACTTTGTGTCAGAACTGAAGGACATGGTGCCGTGTATGTTACAGGAAGACCATCAGAACCAAATGGGGTACCTATTGTGTTCCTTCTGTAATACCAGTGACTACAGTCACTGGATGTAAAGCCATTCTTGGTTTATACACTGTACTGTGCTGACGTGCTACCACTGCTCTCCCCTCAGGATATCATGGATGTGTGTGGACATTACTCACTCGACAAGACTGCCGTTGCCGATTGCTGTGCAATCAAAACTGAATGGACTTTATTCGAGAAAAGACTCGATTCGTTTTAAGACTGGCCTGTGCAGATGAAACAGAGTCCTCGTCAAATGGACAAGGCAGGATTTGTGTACTTAATCAGATGGGACGCTTGCAAGTGTTTTCAAAGTTGTGTCGTTCTGAAGAATTGGAACGAAGATGATGATCCCTCGGTCGAACGTGAAAAAATGATCTCTAGACTGTCCGTATTTGGCCCTGGGATTCCCAATACCTCAGTAAGAGGTGGCCCGCTGGAGTAGTCATGTGGATTTACATTTGTAACTTAGAGTGTGATGTAAAATATTATATTTAATTTAGTTTGGAATATTGACAATAAATCAATATTAAGAGTATATTTGCATTGGTTGTTTATGTGTGAAGAATGGGAAGAGTATGTATTACGATCTTGAACATCCTGAATTGGCCCTGTTAAATTGTATGAACCCTTCAAAAGCCGAAGATCAGTTAAAACTGTGGATATCTATATAAAAAGTCCACGTGGGAAAATTAAATTTCTGCATGGACCAGTGACAGTCACACTTCACCTGGTTTTAAGAGTATAAAGGGGAAACAATTCTACCTTGTGAACATTCATGTGGACAGACGCCAAACAGAACACATCACCATGAGTCAACAATATAATCTGTATGTCCCAGACACAGAGAAGTGGACTCGTTATTATATGTTGCAAGTCCAGGGTAAACTGAAACCGTATAATTTTGTCATGAGACGAGTGGAAAGACAGGTAACTGTGTCTATAGATAGAACACTTGAATTTTATGATCCTGAATGGCAAAAAATATGAGAAGCAAGAAAAGAAAGGAACAGACACAGTGCATGTATTCCCAGGAACCCAATATTACATTTGTGTCCCCTACTACTCAACAAGTGGTCGAACAGGTCAAAGGAAAGTTGAAGAGAGAAAGGGAAAGTTTCAATCGGCCAAGGGAAACAACAGTGGATGTAATGTAAAGAAAACGAATGAAAATAGGTTTTAAAATATACAAAAAAAAGCTAAATTTGTAATTGAATACTTCATTTGTAGTTGGACTGCCGATGTGTGAACATAGTCATGCATCTCTGTCCTGTATGCTCCAAACAATATGTCTGGGCTCATAACCTGTCCCGTCATAAACGAGCAAAACATTCAGGAGAAGATCTCAAGCAGCTGCAGCAGCAGCTACAACCACATTCATCAGAAAATACTACTCAGTCATTTGAAGAATTTAAGCTACTTCATCCATTTACCATGATCGTCTCTGGACCCACCTCCTGTGGGAAAACCTACTTAGTGAAGCAGTTTCTAGAAAGGATGAACATTAAACCTTAAACCTGGGCGTATTATAAGGCTCTACAAACGATGGCAGCCATTGTATAACGTCATTCAAACCTGTGTTTATCCCTGTGTTGAATTTCATCAAGGCATTCCTTCTCACCTTGAAAAGGATGCGTTTCTGGACCCCGCTGTTGTGAACGTTATTGTCCTTGACAACTTTATGTCGACAGCGAGCAAATATCCACACATTACCGATCTTTTACCAAAGGAAGTCATCATCGTAATCTCTCAGTGATCGCCTTAAACCAAAATTTGTATTACAGTAAAGATCCTATACAACAAAGAAATTGTCATTATCTGCTTCTGTTCAACAACCCTATTGATCAACAACCCATCATGACTTCGGCAAGGCAAATGTATCGAGAAAATTATACATATTTTATGGACCAGCTTCAAAGGGCTACCGAGAAACCTTATGGACACTTGTTGGTAGATCTAAAACCACAAACACCTCCCCATTTGCGTCTTTGTCCCAATGCACTTAGTTTGAAAGGAGAACTCCAAGCCAGGACAATTCAATCCGAGTTAGACTTTCAGCATGAGCAGACGTATGAAGAAAACCAACAATGCCATATTGTGATGACTGTGAAGTCAACCACAATTAACCAAAGACATTTACACAATAAACAATGCCCTGAAATGGAAAATGATGATGATGATGATGATGATGATGATGATGATGATGATGATGATGAGCTGAATAAAGACGTTTTGGATAAGAAATGACAGCTGTACATGAAAAAGAGGTTTAAACGATGGACATGATGGACATGATGGAAGCCAAACTGAAGAATTAATCTGGATGTATTCACGATTTATTACTTATCTGTATCATATGCAGTGGGGTCCAAATACACAGGAAATACTGAAGCAAGTACAAGATACGAATAATATGTATCATGACGTGTTTTCAAACTGCACAAATATAAATCATGGGTGGAAGACTTGATTAAAGATGGCGATGAAGACATCATATCTGATACAGAAAACAAAGGACAGGGCGATGAGGAGGGGCAACGAGACATGTAATTCACAAAAGATGTAAAGTAGACTTTGGGAGTTCGCTTATCCTAATGATTACTGATGGAAACGGAGCTAATAAATATGATATGAAATATATATATATATATCTTGTTTGTTGGTGTATATCTATTGCTGGAGGACGGACATTAGACAACTGTTCGTTGTACAACTGACATCAGATCATTCATTCTTTGTGTTATAACTGATAAATAATACCAATTCCAGCCTCAACCTTAGTGTTAATGGTAGTTCAATATACAACAGATGTGTCTATCCTAATGTCTCCCTGACTAAATATAAATAGCCCTGTGTGGCCCTGACTAACTATAAATGGCCCTGACAAGTACTCTCACCTAAAAATCCATAAGGTAAAGTATTTAAATTAGGCTTAAGGACACGTTTTGAATCAGTGTACATATTATACATTTAATTTGACGACCTAACGATCTAAGGACCCCGCGAGGTATTATCAGCGAACTTCCTCATCAACTGTGTTGTGAAGTAAACAGACAGTGTCCCCACTTGGATTTATCTCTCGCTGACTTAACACTTTCAAGGCTGGACAAGGTGGAGACAACTGTCTTAGTTCAAGTTGGTTTTAGAACACATACAGTGTGATTTCTTCATGAATTTTACCGTCATTTCATTTCATGTAAACTGATTGGCTGATCCGACGTTACAACAGACCTATCACTAGACACATTTGGTATTAGTGAGGACCACGGCCAGTCAATCAGCACACAGGGTATGGGTCACGTGAGGGCCTTATCTATTTGAGGACCAAATAGGGTTACTTACAGTTATATATATCACCCGATCATATGATTTATCTTATCAGTTACATCGTTACATGACATTCACCAATTTCAGTTTTCACAGAAACAACTATTCATGGATGGATACTGTTTACTGATTGGATGATACGATTGTATTTGTCATGTCATGTCAAGCCCTTATGCGTGTCATGAACTGATAAGGATGGGATTTTCGATTAGGTCACCTAGCAACCCACGCATGAGGTCATGTGAAAGGGAATAAAACACATTAATCACACTCATCAAATGAAGTAGGTCACCTGTAAAAAGTGCTGTTTTTCCAGGTATACAACACACTGTAGTTTTCACCTATGACAGAACACCTGAACTGTCGTCCATTGTCTAGCTTGTCACATACAAGGTAAAACCGAACACATAAAACAGTAGAAACCGGATAAATTAACGTTGAAACAATCTTACCAACAACATAAACAGTCTTGTTTGCACTGTATTCTTCACTTATGACAGAACACCTGAACTGTCTCCCATTGTCAAGATTCGAGACTGTATGAACCAGCGTTGACGCCCCTGTATATTGACATTCCGCTACTGAAGTAGGACGGTCGTAGGTGATATTTTGGTTGTTCGGGTATCGTGTCCAGGAGGCGAACTCGTTGTTTCCAGATCGCCACTCCCATGTCCACAGGTTCTGGAGGTTGTTCTCATCAAACTGGTTCCCGATCCTGCCTGTACATCTCATTGACAAGAGTTGACCATCGTCATACTGGACCCTGTCAGGAGTGGGGAACATCTCTATTTGCTCTGGATAAGCTGTAAAACAGGATATAGACATTGTAGGTCAACACTCGGGGCCATTATAATTGTAACTCATATCATAATAAAACACTTATATTTAGAAAGAAGCAATAAGTTTAAGTGACACATTTAGAATATCTCATACTGACCAAGAATCCATGGACATGTACATACAAGACACGTGTGAAAAGAGATGCAGAGATGACTTGAGAAATACACTAAATAATGTAATTAAACAATTTATATAAAAAAGATGATCCAGATATTTCTTCTTGCCAAAACTCCTTTATATGTGCACACGATCTTTCGCCGTTCAACTGCTTTTCAGGTGTACAATGGAAACTAAGTGTCGTCATAGGTGACTCATAACGGTAATATGCCGTCTTCATGCGTATGACGTTACAGTTAGTGGTTTTATAACTTTTACCGACACACACACACTCACGCTCGGGCGCGCACACACACACACACACACACACACGTGCGTGGCGTGTGTGTGTGTATCGCAAAGAATCAAAACGTTTCAGATTCAGTTTTGAGTAAATATTACCACTGCGTACTTCTAGCTGTGATGTTGGCCGTAGCCTCATCAGTTTCAGCTGATCCCGCCAAGTATAACGTTGCAGTAGTATGTAGAAGCAGCATCAGCAGATCTCAGATCTGTCAGGATGAACTGTATACTGCCTGTTGCTCCACTGATAGAACCTGAGGCTGTCATCCGCTGCTGTAGACTTGTGTCCACTACTTGTACTGACGTATCTGTGTTGGTCAATCGTATTATAGGCTGATCAAAGCCAGCAGAAGACTTCTTGCCAATCTCCATGTTATACAATGTAGTTATTCCAGGTGCATCTGGCCTGCAACTTACAGTCAACTGAGATGTTGGGTTACTGCCCCCGATTGCTATTTGGCTTGGTGAAGCGGTCAGGCTTGCCCCAGTGGCTGAAAAACGAAGTACAAATGACGATTGATTCATTCATATAAACACGTGCCATGGAACTATATAGCAGAATAGTGTAGCACCGCACTGTGACATATACTACAAAGTCACGGTTTCCGTATTCTGAGCTACACAGGGGCGATGGGGTAGCCCAGTGGTTAAAGCGTTGGCTCATCACGCCGAAAACCCAGGTTCGATTCAACACATGGGTATAATGTGTGAAGCCAATTTCAGGTCGTGATACTTCTTGAATATTGCTAAATGCTGCGTAAAACCATATTCACTCACTGAGCTTCACAGATGATCTACAGATATAGAGAGCGATTCCACAAGACGTTTAACTAACGTCTTTTAGTTACTGAACACACAAGTGGAACATCTGGCAATTGAAAAGCAGACTCACACAAGCAAATAATTTTATAGTACATTATTGCCTTCTGCTTATTCATGAACGAGTTTGGATACTGGGCCCCCGTTAAAACACTGTACGACTTGATGCCGGTTGCGAACTTATGTTTGTTACATGATACATATCTCACAAATAGATGTGTATCTTCATTTGCGAAGATAATTTACACCAATACAATGACAGCTTTACAATGAAAAGAGTGTTTGTTTGAAAACTAGGTTTCTCTGGCATCATGATGTCTGTACTTACTTCCAGAGAGGAGGGTCATGAAGATCAGAAGACAAAGAAGATCACACGTATTCATTCTTCTTTCTAGCAGGTGCGACTTTCCGACCCTGAAACATGTTCATGTATGTCGTTAGTTATAAAAAAAGCTTCTTGGTAAATGTTTATATTTTCAGTTGAGGTCAAACAATTCCTGTGGTTTAGTTGCCGTAAGCATTTGCCACATTTTAACAACTTGTCTATCAAGCCATTACATAGTACGAGAATGTGTCCCATTTCTTATGCATTCATATACACATCTTTGGTTTCGTATATAACTTACTTGCATGATCAATAACTTACGAAATATGAAACACAGGTCCATCTCGTTTCACCCCAGGGACGTTAGACATAGCATATCGAACAAAAATACGTTTTCCATTACCTATAACATATTTATGTGAATTTACTAAAGATATGATCGATCTGGAGATATCTGAATTCAGTACATAACATATGACTAACAAATCCTAAATGAGATTAATGATTTACATGTTGCATGTCTGAACATTGGTACGGTGTATGAACTGACACAAACAAACAATAAACGTACGGTAAAACTAGAAGTGTAACCTATTCCTTTTTCAATGAGAGCAATTGCTCTAAATGGATTCCATCTGCACTAACATGTACAGTATTTGCAAGGCTTAGCAAAATATTTATCTGGAGAATTACTCTTAGCGTCCATGAACAAACTAAACTGCATGTGCACGCGATGGTGTAAAAGAACATGCTACGGCCGTTACAATAATCGGAATGAAACTGACTTTAATGAAACTAAATTTACAAACAAAGCAAATAATATTTTGGAGAACTGTAGTCAGCGTCAGTGGACATGGCCAGTTACGTTTACACATCAGTTACTGGCGAATAGGTACCACGCTGTGCTGATTACAGGTGTGTAAGACGACACACAACAAAGGTCGCGTTCATCACACAGCTTCTCAACAGTCACTGATCGTCACAAGTGTAGACACCATCGGTGGATGCATACTACTTTATATAATCCTGGCTGTCCATATGTGTACAGATACCTTGTCATGTTATTCCATCTATCAATATATATAAGTACAAAGGTAGTCATTTGTCGTTTAGAACTGTAGATGTTACACGTCACAACTGAGCTGGGAAGTATAATACTCTCACTTGTATATGTCACCGTACGCACCATTGAGAATCCTACCCTCCACAGTTTACCTCCGTGATCACTACACTGCTTATAACCTCTACAGTTTACACCCATGCAATGTCTGAGTAAAACATACCTCGGGTCATGGTGACACAGAGTCAGTAGGGGGAAAGCCTACGTGTGTCAGTAAGCATACCGTGGAGGGTCGTTAAGAGGTTGTGTAGTGTTCATGCCAATCATAATATGGACATCAATACGAAATATTCCCATATTGCCTTTACAGCCATCAATACAATGACTCTTGAAACTACACACACATACCTGTACATGACGTCAACCGCCATTAGACATCCGACCTGCAGAATATACTTCCTTGTTGTACACACGTGATATAGCCGTGTGATCGCAGGAGTAAAAATAACTTTACAATTCATTGTTTGGGTCCAAGCAACATGATACTGGATTCTAAGTATAGAGGAGATGCGGATTAAGATCGCATTGAGGGAAACCTGCCCAGCAAGGGTCACGGTGTGTTTTGAAGTTGTAGTCATGTAGTGGTAGGTATGGAGATCAGCGGACAGAAAGATTTCTGTGTTTGAATGTACAACCGAATTGATAACAATTAGTACTATACCACCGTCGGCAATATTATAGCTTCATCTATATACTGTTTCTATGGTCCTTAGAAAATGGTGTGTTGTATATTAAACTTAACGTTTGTGTATGTTTATTATCTTACGTTAATGACGTTACGTAGATGTGTCCGTATGCAAATGAAATTTCGAGCAGCAACTGTTGTTAAGATCGTAGATTATATCAGTTTGACACACTTCGCGCAGACCGTATTGAATTTCTTTTTTTAAAAACTAACTGATTAATTGTTGAGCATTTCTTACACTCATATCTGTGAGTTTGGTGGCAAATATGTGAATTCTAACTATATCATTGGTTGCTACGTCTACTGATCTATGCAGGTGACAGATATTGATTTGGTGACCAGGCTGGTTGACTTGGTTGATTGCATGTCATTCTACTCAAACGAGTGTACGCATAATATCGATCACAGGATTGTCTGGTCCAGTCTCGAATATCTACATACTGCTGAGTGAGATGTTATATATTTCAGTTCTTGATCAGTTTGGATTCATTCGTCGTAAAACGTGTAACATACATCTCTTTATTCGTTCCAAACATCAAGGTTGACACCTTGTCATGCCATGGTATCATAATTGCATAGATATATGCTCATGCTGTTGATCACTGGATTGTCTTCTCCATTCTTCATTAATTACAAAGCGACGCCATATAGCTGGAATATTGCGTTAAACAAAAGAAAAAAGCAACACATCAAAGGGTGGTCAGGCCATCAGCCATGTTCAGACCAGTTGAGCACAAACCCAGCATGATAACTGTTCTACAAATCAGTCCATGTTATGTAAGTGAACTTCAGTATCAGGTTAATGTTATTTAATGTTTGTGTATTATAGCAGAGGTGTGACTGTAATTTCAGATAATACAATGTGTTCAAGAGTGAATATAAGAGTATAGGTAAGGTTAACGAATCATGATATGGACCCCAAACCTGCCAGGGTATTGAAGAAACAGGAAGTGAATTTTGCATGTGTTACTGTTGAAACAAAGAGCCTGCCTCATGTCCTGGAGCTGAGATTAAGACAGCATTGGGTCCTAATTCTGGCTTGAGATGAGGTCTGAGCATTATATAATTATTTATATCTAAAGATCTGTACAGAATTATGTTAAAACTGTGTACAGTAATGTATATGAGATATAAAAGTATAAATTCTGACTTGAGATGAAAAAAGTAAAAATTCTGACTTTGTTTTGTCTATTTGAATTTTCAGCTGAAGCAATATCAACTCATTTATTAATGTAATGGTATTTTATGTGGAAGAACAACTTCTATTTACAATGAGGAAGTAGATGTGTAGAAGGTAACACTGTTATCAAGCAGTAGATGTATAAGGTAGTGTAGGGAGGCATATATACAGATATGAACAACTTGTCTATCAAGCCATTACATAGTACGAGAATGTGTACCATTTCTTATACATTCATATACAGATCTTTGGTTTCGTATATAACTTACTTGCATGATCAATAACTTACGAAATATAAAACACACGTCCATCAAGTTTCGCCCTAGTGGCGTTAGACAAACAATATCGAAACAAAGAACATTTTCATTACTTATAAAATATTTTATGTGATATCATTGAACTGGAGATAACAGTATATAGCATATGACTAAGAAATCGAAATTACGATTTATGATTTACAAGTTCATGTATGAAGGTTGGTACGGTGTATGAACTGACACAAACAAACAATGAAGTTATGGTAAAAGAATAACTGCAACATATTCTCTTTTAAATAAAAGCAGTTGATTCAGATGGAATCCATCTGCACTTAAATTTACAATATTGGCAAGGCGTAGCAAAATAATTATCTGGAGAATTATTCTTAGTGTCCATGAAAAACGAAATTGCAGGTACACCCGGATGGTATAAAGGTAAATGCTACGTCCGTTACGATATTCGGAATAAAACTGACATTTACAAACTAAGCAAATATTCTATTGGAGAACTGCGTTTACTTGCAGTGGACAAGGCCAGTTACGTCTATACATAGATACACACTATAGAACTGTATACATTAGCTACAGGAACCACGATGTGATGATTACAGGTGTGTAAGACAACACAAAACAAAGGTAGAGTTCATCACACAGTTTCCAGTAACAGATCACCACAATTGTAGACGACATCGGTGGATGCATACTACTTTTATGTTCCTGACTGTCCATATGTGTACAGATACCTTGTCATGTTATTTCATCTACCATTACATATAAGTACAAAGGTAACCATCTGTCGCTTAGAACTGTAGATGCATTCGTCACAACTGTCTTTGGAAGCATATATTACTCACACTACTATATATATACACACACACACACACAGGTACACACACAATCCACACACTCACACAGACGCGCACACACACACACACACACACCACCTTACCCACCATTTAGAATCGTAACCTGCTCAATTTACACCCTTTATTACTGCATTGCCCTACGCCACACCCCCTCATTCCTGCTTGACGGTACAAGAATCTGTATCGAAACGTCGCACTCACGAAATAAAATAATGTGTTATCCATAATGTTTGTTCAATAGTGCATGTCTCAACTGCTAAAATGCCACTCAAAGAAGATTGTATTACCTATAACATCTACATGTTACCCCAAATACAACGTCTGTGTAAAACATACCAACGGTCATGGTAACACAGTCAGTAGGGTGAACGTCTGAGTGTGTCAAGATGTATGTTGCAGCGATGGTAAGGGCGTGTGTAGTGTTCATGCCAATGATAATATAGACACAAATACGAAGTATTCCCACATTGTCTTTACTACTATCATTTCAAATATTGTTTAAAATACACACACGTACCTGTACAGGTGAACTCAACCGCCATTAGAAATCCGACCTGCACATTATACTTCCTTGTTGAATGCACACGCTCTGCAAATTATGTTGAGGCGTATTCTACATGCGTTTAGAGTTCATTGTTAGAAATCTGATTGAACAAATACACCAACATGATACTGGATCAAAAGCATAAAGAGAAGTAGGTCATGATTGCATATGGCGGAACCTGCCCACTGAAACGGAGAAGTTGTGACAACATTGTTGATGACCAGCATGAATGTCTTTACAGGTTTCACTACCCTAAGTTTAAGTGGAGACCATTAATGGGTAATATCCCTAAGTTTAGTGAGACCAACTTGAATGTCTTCACAGGTATTCACTGTAATATCCCCAGGTTTAGTGAGACCAACTTGAATGTCTTCACAGGTATTCACTGTAATATCCCCAGGTTTAGTGAGACCAACTTGAATGTCTTCACAGGTATTCACTGTAATATCCCAGATTTAGTGAGACCAGCTTGAATGTCTTCACAGGTATTCACTGTAATATCCCCAGGTTTTGTGGGACCAACTTGAATGTCTTCACAGGTATTCACTGTAATATCTCCAGGTTTAGTGAGACCAACTTGAATGTCTTCACAGGTATTCACTGTAATATCCCCAGGTTTTGTGAGACCAACTTGAATGTCTTCACAGGTATTCACTGTAATATCCCCAGGTTTAGTGAGACCAACTTGAATGTCTTCACAGGTATTCACTGTAATATCCCCAGGTTTTGTGAGACCAACTTGAATGTCTTCACAGGTATTCACTGTAATATCCCCAGGTTTAGTGGAGACCAACTTGAATGTCTTCACAGGTATTCACTGTAATATCCCCAGGTTTTGTGGAGACCAACTTGAATGTCTTCACAGGTATTCACTGTAATATCCCCAGGTTTAGTGAGACCAACTTGAATGTCTTCACAGGTGTTCACTGTAATATCCCCAGGTTTAGTGAGACCAACTTGAATGTCTTCACAGGTATTCACTGTAATATCTCAAGGTTTAGTGAGACCAACTTGAATGTCTTCACAGGTATTCACTGTAATATCCCAAGGTTTAGAGAGACCAAAATGATCTTCACAGTTTACGTCGCATGACTGTTTCAGAAACGTAACATAACGTTGTGTAATAGTCGATACGCGACGTTTTGACAACGTATGTATGTCATTATAGAACAAACTTTATGGATAACAACTTCTTTTTTATTCGTGCACTCACGAATAAAAAGAAGTTGCTATCCATAAAGTTTGTTCTATATTGTACTTCCAACTTCTAAAATGCCACTCAAAGAGACGTTATGCATGTCATGTTTGGAAGTAACGTAATGGATTGACGTCATACAAATGTAACAATGTTGTATTATGACGTTACCAATGAATAGGGAATTGCCCTGATTCTCATATTGCGATAGATTGCAATAATTTAAGAAATATTGCAATACATATTGCGATATATTAACTGGAAGGCTTCTTCCGAAGTGTGTACATCATAAATTCATAATAGCTCTCTGTGTGCGGCATCATCTTCTTAGTCGATGTTACACCATACTTTCAGGCTCCCGGTTCCCATGTGGTATGGCTGTATGCCATTGGTTTACAGATAAATACAATGATATCTAGCCTTAATGTTGAATGTTTAACTGTAGTATTGCAACAACGTTTTGGGAACATAATGATTAAGGTATTAGAGTCCGTTTGGATCAAAAGCGGGACCAGGTGAATTACAATCTAACTCGAAAACTACTAAACATATAATGCTCAATGAAACGCTGATCATAATCAAAAGAGACATCATACCAACTCTGTGATTTCTTTTGCAGTATCCATGTCCTAAACTAAAAAATTCAAAATTTGTTTAACAAACTATCATGAATTTTTTTTACTAAGTTCACTATTTGTTAAGAGGG